ATCACTTACACAACACTCACAAGCCAACACGGACGTCTCCGCGGGCCGCGGGCGGGCCTTGGGGGGGGTTCTTATTTGTTTCACTGATGTTGGAAGTTTTATTATTTTTATTATTTAAAGGTGGTATTTGTTTATTGTTTGGAGGTACTACAGATAGAATTTAGGTGTAATGCATCAAATGTTTCTCATTTAAGCTATAATTGCACATTGTACTGATTAATTAAAGTGAAAAAAATATATATTAATAATTGTCACATTAAATAGACACATTAAACTCTTCAAATAAATTCATTAAATCTCATTAAATAGACTAAAGTAATCAAGTGAATTTTCATTTTTTTGTGTGTCCTGTCTGTTTTTAAACCAAAGACCTAACAGACTGGTAGCTTCCATGACATTTCCACATTCATTTCATTTTTGATCCATCTGAACTTTGTGGTTATTTGAAAAAGTGTTCAACATTATTCTTTCTCTACTCACTGTGCCATCAGTTGGGTTAATGGTCTTGTAAGTCTTTCCTCCATCTGCTTCAACAAACTCCCCATTGATAAACAGCTGATGGGGCATGTTTACAGTGATATTGTTGATCTTTTTCTCCACCTGGAATTTATTCAGTGCCCAAGACAAACAGACATTGTGTTTCCTTCTTAGTTGTAATTAGCAATGAATATCATGAATTCAAAACACAACCCCTTACATAGTCAACAGTGAGCTCCTCATCATCATCCTCCCCTCGAAGTTTCTTGATGCACATCTGGATGAAGTCCTGGAAGGTGGTGTTCATGTAGACATCCTCTGTCTGGAGCCGACAGCTGCTGGCTCGATGTTTCACTTCTTCCACAAGCCTATTGGCAATGATTGGATGTAAAAAATATCACTGAACTGAAGTATTTGAGTTCAAGAAAAAATTAAATACTATAGATGAACAGAAAAAAAAAAAGAGTACAGTATTTGGTATTCAACATATGCAACATATTTAAATTGTTGAAATTCTTCGTCCTGTGTAGTCAGGGTTTAAATACTTCTATTACTGCATCCAGAATCCTCCTAGGAGGTATTAGTAGTAATCCTACTTCTTGTCCTCAAAATATTATTTGTTTATTATTTCCTAAGACAATCTTTACAGAGCAGCACGATGGTGCTGTAGAGCAACTAACTTGTAGAGCTGCTGCCGCTCAGCAAGCAGGCTGCCCAGAAACAAATCCTGGTCCGGGGACCTTTCTGGGTGGAGTTTGCATGTTCCTTCCATGTTTTTTCCAGGTACTCCATTTTCCTCCCACAGACCAAAAACATGCATGATAGGCTGATGGTAACTCTAAATTGTTCCTAGGTGTGAGTGAGAGTGTGAATGGTTGTCTCGTTTGTCTCTATGTGTCCCTGTGATGGACTGGAGACCTGTCCAGTTGTCTCCCATCTCTCGCACAGTGATAGCTGGACATGGGCACCAGCGATCTTCACGACACAAAAAGGAAAAAGTGAGTAAAGATGATGACGTTATGTATGATCTTTACAGAAGTCTATTTGAAATTTACTTTGAAGAAACAGTCCACTTTAAAACACTCTAATGTAGATGGAAAGAAAATTGCTCCTAATGTTTCAACTGCCTTATTTGGGGTGAGGCTTACTTCACTTCACTAACCCTAACCCTAACTCCTGCTAAAAAGTATACAGTTGTATGCAGGTTATTGCACAGGTAGTGACACTGAGATTGAATTATGATGTAAGGTAGATGCATAGATAATGTATCATACATGATATCATACATGATACAGCCTACATAGCTGAAATGTGGTGTACTGGTAGCTGAGAACAATCCCTAATAGATCCAACATTTTTCAGTCAGGTCATTTGGACAGTTTCTTTTTTTGGGTGCTGAAACATTTTGCCAAAACCCAACCTGAGACATAAACAGGCACACAGAGACAGCCCGACGGACCCGCCGTCAGGTCGTCCATGTGCCCCACCAACCCGACAGCGACTGCAAGCCGGCCCCAGGCTGGGGGCCAGAGCAGCAGGGAACAACAGTCAAGGAAGGCCGGCCCAGCGCACCAATGCTTCCCTACAGCCCCACACCACAGACCTGGAGAGGCCCCAACCTGACTTTCAAAACTTTCTTGTTGACAATCAGATCTTCTTGCCATTTTTCTGCCTTGGTTACAGTCATGTTAGCTTGTGATGCTGTGTGAATGGAACCAATAAAGAATTCCTCCTCTTCAGCTTATGTCTTATTTATATGATGCTCCTTCGGGTTGTTGGTGTGCTTGTGTAATTTGCACATTCTTGAATAGTGATTTTTCCCATGACAAGCTTTACACACTTGTCCATAAGCAGGACATTTCCTTGGATCGTGCTTACAGCCACATCTTGTGCAGTTTCCTTGATTCCTCACATTTCCACTCTATGCTGTAGCTCCACTGTCTCTCTGTTTATCATATTGTTTTTTCTTTGTGACTTTATTAACAGGGATTTCAACCTCCTCTTGTAGACTTTTTAACTGACTTCGACTGCACTCACTGGCTCTGCAAATGTATATTGCTTTGTACAGAGTGAGATCAGGTTCTCTTAATAATCATCCTTTTACTTGATCATCAGAGATTTCGCACACGATTCTATCTCTTATAAGTGAGTCAGTGAGGGGGTCAAACTCGCAGTCTTTGGCTTTACTCTTTAAATCAGTCATATATAAATCAATAGTCTCTGATTTACCTTGCACTCGAGTGAACAACAGGTGCCTCAAATAGGTCACATTTTTTCTTGGTTCATGATACTTACGGAACAGCTCTTTCAGTTGACCATAGTTATCAGCATTTTCATCAGCGTCCTCAACAAAATCAAAGGTGTTGTATACCACCCACTTCGGATGTTATCAGCCATTAAATGGCTGTTATTAGTTGTTATCTCCATATGTAACGGTCAGACTGCCCCTCCTGTACCTCCCAGTGGGTTTAAAGGTACGTTGTTAGCATTGATAGCAATGATAATAGGCTCTATATTTAGCTTTGTTAGCGCTCATAATAGCTTCACGTGATTCGGTTTAGAGTAAAGGGTCTGGTGGTTAGGTTTACGGTCTTGGTTAGGTTTAGGCACAAGAGTAAGGGGGTTAAGTTTAGGGTTGGTCCTCAGGGTCAGGTGTAATCTTACGTTTAGGAAAAGGGTTACATAAGCTGAAAAAAACTAAAAAGACACTTCCTGGTTTACCCCCCTGTGATGCTGCCTATTATCAGCAATAATAACGATAATAACGTAACTTTAAACCTACTAGGAGGTAGGTGGGGCAGTCTCACCGCTACATATTGGGATGATAACAACTAATAACGGCCATTTAATGGACTGATAACATCCGAAGCCACTCTGTATACCTTGATGGCTTCATCTCCAGCTACATGCAGAAACGTGGCTTTTTTCACAGCATCAGATTTTTCCTCAATTCCACTGGCAACAAGGTACAGTTCAAATCTCTGAATCCAGACTCTCCAGTTTTCTGCTAGATTTCCTTCTAGACTTAATGAGGTTGGAGGTTTCATCTGGTCCATGTTTGTTCATTTGCAAGGTTAATCCACTATCTTTGTCTTTCACTCCTGACACCATGTAACATATCATGAGAAAGACGCTGAAGTTAGGAGGACAACGCCCTTCACTCGTCATCATTCAGGTCTTTTATAGCAGCACAGTGCCACCTAATGGCAATATAAAGTAATTACTTGCCTCAATACAGTGTACATCACAGAGCTGAAACATTTCACCTTCGGTCCGGAAGGATTCATCAGCCAAGGAAACACACTACAAAACTGATTCTTCCCCCAACAGCTTACTCCAAAGTGGAACAAACCAGTTCTGCAAGTGATAAGATGGTTTCTTTGGTACGCCCCCTTCTCCATTGCCGGCTTGTTGACAGTCTTGTCAAACTAGTTGAAAACAACAAAGTCCATGCTCAATAATCCAGGTATACAACCCAAAATTTTTCAGTCAGGTCATCTGGACAGTTTCTTTTTTTTTGTGCTGAAACATTTCACATTGCGACCGGAAGGCTTCATCAGTCAAGGAAACACACAACAAAACTGATTCTTCCCCCAAGAGCTTTCTCCAAAGTGGAACAAACCAGTTCTGCTTGTGATAAGATGGTCTATTTGGTACGCCCCCTCCTCCATTGCCGGCCCTCTTCCTTGTTGACAGTCTTGTCAAACTGGTTGAAAACAAAAAAGTCCATGCTCAATAATCCAGGTATACAATCCAACATTTTTCAGTAAGGTCATTTGGACAGTTTCTTTTTTTTTGTCTTGAAACATTTCGCCTTTGGTCCGTAAGGCTTCATCAGTCAAGGAAACACATAACAAAACGGATTCTTCCCCCAACAGCTTACTCAAAATTGGAACAAACCAGTTTTGATTGTGATAAGATGGTCTCTTTGATACGCCACCTCGTCCATTGCAGGCCCGCTTCCTTGTTGACAATCTTATAAAACTGGTTGACAAAAACAAAAGTCCATGCTCAATAATCCAGGTATACAATTTAACATTTTTCAGTCAGGTCATCTAGAGAGTTTCTTTTTTGTGTGTGCTGAAACGTTTCAATTCGGTCCGGAAGGCTTCATAAGTCAAGGAAAAACACAACAAATTTGATTCTTCCTCCAACAGCTTACTCCAAAGTGGAACAAACCAGTTCTGCTTGTGATAAGATGGTCTCTTTTGTACACCCCCTCCTCCACTGCCAGCCCTCTTCCTTGTTGACAGTCTTGTCAAACTGGTTGAAAACTACAAAATCCATGCTCGAAAATCCAGGTATACAATCTAACATGTTTCAAACAGGTCATCTGGACAGTTTCTTTTTTTTTTTGTGCTGAAACGTTTAGCATTGCGACCGGAAAGCTTCATCAGTGATGGAAACACACAACAAAAATGGTTCTTCTTCCAACAGCTTACTAAAAAGTGGAACAAAACAGATCTGCTTGTGATAAGATGGTCTCTTTGATACGCCCCCTCCTCCATTGCCGGCCCTCTTCCTTGTTTACATTCTTGTCAAAGTGGTTGAAAACAACAAAGTTCATGCTCAATAATCCAGGTATACAATCCAACATGTTTCAGTCAGGTCATCTGGACAGTTTCTTTTTTTTTTTTTGTGCTGAAACGTTTCACCTTGGGTCCGGAAGGCTTCATCAGTCAAGGAAACACAACAAAACTGATTCTTCCCTCAACAACGTACTCCAAAGTGGAAAAAAACAGCTCTGCTTGTGATAATATCGTCTCTTTGGTACACCACCTCCTCCACTGCTGGCCCTCTGCCTTGTTGAGAAGTCTTTTCAAACTGGTTGAAAACAACAAAGTCCATGCTCAATAATACAGGTATACAATCCAACAATTCTCAGTCATATCATCTGGACAGTTTTTTATTTTTTGTGCTGAAACATTTCGCCTTAGGGTCCGGAAGGCTTAATCAGTCAAGGAAACACACAACAAAATTGATTCTTCCCCCCACAGCTTATTCCAAAGTGGAACAAACCAGTTCTGATTGTGATAAGACAATCTCTTTGGAACGCCACCTTCTACATGGCCAGCCCTCTTCTTTGTAGTGTTGGATTTAATATTTTATACCTTTTTATAATTCCCATCAAGCACT